AGAGATTATTGTGGCATTGGCAATTAAAGATTGTCAAGATTGTACTGTTTGCTTGCGGGTTGCAAGTGCTTGCGATTTTGCAAGTGGAAATAGTGGAGAAATCTCAAGCGAGGCTTGGGGACTGGATGTAGGTTTGGAGGACCAAACCAGTATAAATCCTTGTGTTTGCGTATGCAATTTTCTGTGATTGTTTACACATTGGTTTGATCTTTCTTACTCTTTGTGATATTATTTTATTGAAATTTAAAGTTTCCGCATTAGATTTCATAAATACTATTCAACCCCCCCTTCTAGTGTTTGAGTGCCATTGCAGCGATCCTTCAGTGTTGCGTCTTGATGATGGTACGCAAGGAGGACTTCCACGTCTTGGTTTGAAGAGACCGTCGATTTGTAGTCTCTTTCTGTCAGAGCGTTACAAAGATCGTCATTTTGTAATCATTGCTTTGATATGTGAGAGTCGTCAGATTGTAACTCTCGATGTTAATTGTGAAGGATGTTGATTAGAGCTTTCATCAGTTGTTGTGAAGGTCGTCAGATTGTAACCTTCATCGATCTACGTGAAAGTCTTTAAATTATAGTATTCTGGAAGTCGTCAGATTGTAACTTCCATGATCCGTGTTTGATGGGGAATCAGCTATCTATTGTGATTTTTAGACATCCTACAACTAGAAAACAAGATTAGAAATTATTTGTTAATCATCAAAACCAGATTAGATAATAGGTTCATAAACGCGAGACCTAACAATATCCCCCTTTTTGATGATGACAAACAATCTACACAATAAGTATAGGAAATATGCATGATACCAAATGAATACGTAATTTTTAATCCTCATGCATGATACCAATAGTAAACAATAAGAAAACGAGATTCTCACAATACACTTTGTTTCTCCTCTTTTGTTAATATCAAAATGAGGAAAACAATAAGAAGAAAGAGAGCGAAAGCTCCCCTATATAAGAACGGTTAGTATAAACAAAATAGGGAAAGCCCCCTATCAAAAATCCACAGAGCATATATTACATAAAATATTTAATGCAATCATGCACAAATATATGTCACGATGGTAATCACAATATGTGAGCAACAAACACGTACTAATCCCAAATCACACTCAAGGTGAGCCAAGAGAACACACATATATATATATATCACCATAAGAGTGTTTACAAAAGTCTCAAATACATACCAAAAGAGAGATGAAATACATAGTTTCAAATCAAATGAAAGTAGATTTCACAGCCTACAAACAGAAAACACAAAACTCAAACCGAAATACATAATTTTCAATTGTTTTAAACAAACCAATAGTCAATACAAAGTTCTTAACTAAAAGCAAACGTCCATAACATTAAGAGATTAGTCTTCATGAATGGGATGGTCCGGCTCCTAGAGATCCGTCGAACTTCGCCGGGTCTCGTGCTCGAGCCTCAGCCCCCACCCCCGACGAGATCTCGTGCTCTAGCAGTCGAACTTCACCGGGTCTCTCTACAGGGTCTCTAGTTCGCTCTCTCTCCCATATCTCGTGCTCTCGCCGTGCCGTCAAATTCCTCGAGCCGCCGACCCGACGAGATCTCGTGCCCAACTCCCCCAGATCTCGTTCGTGCCCAAAAATAGGGATTCGACGCCGCAGGTATAGATCTCCATCAAAAAAATTGCACTTGTCATACTATCCCTTTTCCCCTATTTGTTAATTGGGATGGCATTCAAGTTGAAAACTTTACAGTTATAAAAGCTTCCGATTGCTGATGTTGCGTAAATGAGAATAAAGTCGAGCAAAATAGACAAATTAGGGATTATGATTTGGGGTGATTTATTCAATTTTGCTATATACAGCCATTAACAGGACTTGAAAATAAATATTGTTTGAATTTAGGAAATGATAATGTGATTTATTCAATTTCTGTATTGACATGTAACATTCTGTCAATATATACTCATGTAGGCACGCCCATGTCACACCTCTTTATTAATATAATCAACGATTATCTCTAGCTATAACTTGTTGACATTTTTGTTCGAAGGGAACATATAAATAGGAAATCTGAAAGCAACCCTTCCCTTCTTATTAGAGATTATGGTTTATGCCTAATGGCTGAACACTAGGGGTGATTACACTAGAGTTACTAGCAGCATGCAAGCTGGTAGTTGTATACCATTCGTGGGGGGTATTGAGGGATAATTTGAGGATTTCATTATCCCCAAGAGTGACGTAGAACTTCCCTCAAGTAGTTCTGAGATGATCTGTTCTCTTCAGAGCAGTATCTCTGTATATGTTCACTGACATGAACTAAATAGTTGAGCAAGTGGTACTGATGCTAATTATTTGTGATATTTATGTAGAAATGCTAATTATTTGTGATCATCATTATCACAAATAACAGGACTTGAAAATAAATATTTGCTTCAGTTGATATTCAGTTGATATTTTTGTAGAAATTAGAGTGCCCATTAATGTTGATTTTCAGAGCTTAGCATAAATTTTCAGAGCTTAGCACTCCTTTACATTACAATTTACTCAGAAAAAGTTTTCCTATGTCTCTTTCCAGTACATGTTCATGTTAAATTGCTCAAAATTTGCAGATTAAAATGGCTTCATTATCAACTGTGGAAGGTAACTCATGTGTTGAAGTGGATATTAGATTCATATTGAAACAATGCGATTGTGGAGAATTAGCGGACGTGAAGATAACGAAGTCGAACAAGAACAATAACCGTGGTAGAATTTACTACTCGTGTAAAAGGCAAAAGTGTGGTTCATTTTTGGGCTGGTGCAAGATTTCATCAATTGAACAAAAACCATTCGTCATTGCCCCACCAGAGGCTCGTGAGTTGGTTGTTGTACGTGAAAAAGTGTTGTGGAAATGGCTAACTATTATAGCTTTTTTGTTGTCTTTTTGTTTGGCCATGAAAGAAATTATGTGATGTAAACGATTTGTGGGAATAAAACAAGACTTTGTAACTGTTGTTGTTTAACTGCTGTTGTTTTAACAATTGTCATCGGCTAATGCAATGAAAAGTTAGGTAACCTGCTGTTGTTGTTGTTTAACTGCTGATGTAAACGATATTGTTGTTTAACTACTGATGTAGCCTCTGCCAATCCTTTATCCGGCGAGTTCTGCTATTGAATTTGCTGCCAACTCACTGCTTGTCGATTTCTTCCTCTCTTGGGATCTTCTCTTCTACTGGTGCTTAATGAACCCCCCTTTGATTCTTCTTCTTCTTCTTCTTATTGTTGTTATTGGTTGTTGTACTGACAGTGCCATCTTTCGATTCGCTGATGCTAAGAATCTTAAGAGTGTAAAGGAGTTGAGAGAGTCAAGGGATGGAGAATTTAGTGAGAGAATGGAAAGGGCAGTTGCAAGCTCAAAGCTTGCAGGCAAAAGTGAAGTTTTGGACTGAGAATTAGGAGTTGACATGAACAAGTGAAGAATGCACAAATTTGTGAAGAAGATAAATGAAATTGTTGTTATTGCTATGATCTACGCATTTTCCTTGATTTGTGAAGTTAACCTATTAAAGATCACATTTGTTGGTTACTTGTGATGTTTAAAAAATACAATGGTATTTTGTTACACTATTTGTGACCACGCATCACAGACAATGAAGTTTTACATAGCTAATGGTTAAGAGTCACGTGCAATGACAATATATCACATATAACAAATAAGAATCACAAAATAAAGCTTCATCACAGTCAATGATTAAGAGTCACATGAAATGATAATATATAATAGATAATGAAATGCTATCTCACAAAATGTAGATATATTGCGTTTAATTGTTAAATGCCAGCAACTTTGACAATTCTTACAACGTTCCACATTTTTGAAACAAGCAACAACAATCCTTACAAGTTACATCAACAAACCATAACAACAATAACAAGCTAAGCATCCCGCTTTTTGCTGCTGCATCAATAGCTTTTCAACCATCAACCTCTGCCCTTAACAGCTGCTGCATCAACAACTTGCATCAACAACTTCTGTACACAACAGCCAATGCAATGAATAAGTCATTTGTTTTTATACACTTAGCCTATGTCTGTTATTATGAAAAGATAAAGAATTGAGTATAAAGGGGCTTACTTCTTGTTAAAACAAATTTCTGCACCACTCCTCGGGTTCATTCAAAAAGATTCACATCCTCCCCATCTTCACTTGATAACTCATTACCCTCTTGCAAATTCACATCAACGCATGTAGAAGACCTACATTATGTTAAAAAAAATATATCCATCAAGAGAAATACTAGAATGTGAAAAATAAGACAACATAAAGAATAAAAGAATTATTACTTACAGATTTGTGAGTGCTGGACAATTTCGCTTATCATGTGATTGGCCTACTTTACCACACCTGTGACAACGTCTCTCTCTTTTATTCTTGATTCTAGCCATTGCTTTCTCTTTTCCTCCTTTCAACCTTTTGCCGCACCCCTTTGCTCGCACTTGATTGGGTTCATTGAAACTACTTTGAAAAGTGCAAAAACCATGCGCACTTGTACCATCACCATCACCTATCATATTACTACCTATTGAATTACTTTTCTCAGTGAAGCTCATTTCAGCCATGCGGCTACTAAGAAATTGAGTTATTTGCTCATTAATGCTTCGCAACCCATCGGTAAACATCGTCCTTGTTTCTTCACATACGAGGGACTTGTCAATTAAATCCAAAGATGATTGGATAAATTGACTTCACCTTAAAAAATAAGAATTGTCAGAGGTTATCTGCATGCCTTTATTATCAACCACTGTCCCTGATTTTGCAGACTTAGTCCACCTCTTTAAGATGTATTTATCGGGCAATATTTCAGCATCAAACTTCATCAAATATGAGATAATGTGTGTACATGGGATTCCGGCGCTTTCGAATTTTTTACAACTACAATAAACCAAATCCAAGTCCTTGTCATAAACGATTTTGCGGACTTTACTTCCTGCAATCTTCTTTCTTTGAATTTGATACACACAGTGATTGTCGGTTTCCCTAACACATTACAACTTGTAGTTAAAGCTGTCACACACTTCAGCCTCAAACTTATAGTACATCTCATTTGTGTAAATATCAACCATTTGCTCCAAAAAGTCATGATTTATTCTAAGTTTAGGTTTCTCAATTACATCTTTGTGATCGGCCATCAACTCCTCGTGACGTTGGCGCACTAGTCCCCTACCAAACTGAATCATGAAATCCACCAATGAATTATTCTTCGAAACAAATTTCTTGAAAAATGCATGTCCACTTTCTGCTCGTTGACTACTTGACATGTCAGCTGAGAATACGTGATTAACATATGCTGGGATCCATCTTGACCGAAATTCATATTGGTCTTGCAACCATTTATTTCCTTCTAACCCACTCTTCTTAATCAGACTTTCCCATTGTAAATCAAATTCTTCAGGAGTCTCTGATTTCCAAATGCAAGCTGAAAACTCACTCTTATAAATACTATACTTCGCTGCATCAATTTTCTCAGAAAACTTCATTAATATATACCAACTACAATACCTGTCAAAAGAAATTTCAAAAGTGTTAAAAAAAGACAATGTACATAAATATTATTTGGAAAAAAGACAATGTATACAAACTATATTACCTGTGAAAAGTATTTGGAAGAACAAGAGGGAATGCCTTAGTCATAGCTGGATCTTGATCGGTAATAATCATCTTCGGGGCACCACCAGGCATACTTGCCAAAAACTGATTAAATAACCATACAAAATCATCAACGCTCTCATGATTTAAAAATCCACAAGCAAAAAGGATTGTCTGACCATGATTGTTAACCCCCATTATTGGTGCAAATATTAGGCCATATCGATTAGTGTTATAAGTGGTATCAAAGATTACAACATCACCGAAAAAATTGTAAGCCCGCCTTGAAGTTGCATCGGACCAAAAACAACGAGTAATCTTTTGTTCCTCATCGGCCTCAATTTGAAAAGTAAATGCGGGATTCTTTCCTTGTTCTAATTTTAAATATTCATAAAACATTTCACCATCATGCCCCTTCAAATCAGCCCGTATATCCCTTTCATGATTATACAAATCTCTTTGAGTGCACCCAATATTTTCTATGCCTCCAGATTGTACTCCAAGAAAACTAAATTGTTGATGCTGAGGTATATTCACCATGGAGAACTGTTGACTTAAAGACTTTGTTGCGGCTGAAACGTTACGGTGGGACCTTAAAAGATGAACCTTTGATGGTGTTGATAGAGGGTGGCTGTGCTCCTCATTAAAAACAGTAACAATGAATTTTTTGGAGTTTGATTTTAAAACTGCAATTTTGGCATGACAATCCTCTGCTAAGCTTTCTCGACGTCTTTTATTTCCAACATCCGTGATTCTTGAAGATTTTCCTTGTTTAAAACAAACATACTCCTTCCTTCTTATTTCACCACTTCCCGGATCTTTCTGAGTAGTCCAAGCCCTTACACTAAACCCAGCTGCTTTTGCATAAGCATTGTAGAATGTCACAACATTATCAATTATGTCAAATTCTTGCCCCTTTTTTGGCCTCAACTCATCTGATACTTGAGGAGTATATATCGAGCTATCGTCATTCAAGTTTTCCATTTCTCAAAAAAAAATATAATTGACCTATATAAAATGCATATAATATCAAATTTCGAACCAAATGGATTTCAAATTAATAATTCATATCAAATCTGAAGTTACAGGTCATGTTATCAAATTAATAATTCATGTTATCAAATTAATTTCTACAGTAGCCTTCAAATTAATTCATGTTATGCGGACTGCAGAGTGAAGGAAACAAAAAACAGGTAAAAGGTTGTAGAAATATATGCAAGTTAAATCACATAAAAACCCAATTAAAAAATACTTTGCACCTAGTGTTAATTTGGTTGGAAACAGTTAACTGTGTTTTTGATAATTAATGGTGTACCCATGGAGTGTTGGTTTCTGACCAGGACATGGGAAGCGTGATAATATTCATACTTTATAGCCTAGGGTCATCACCTTCATGAAGGAAAATGAGAATAATTTTGCACTAATCACCATGATTATGACCAAGGTAAGAGGAGTAATGGTGCTTTAGGGGTATTGTCTGAGGTTCATGGAGATGACAAAGGTGAGGATCTTGAAGGCTCTTGGATAGTTCCTGACCTTCAATCAGGTCCATGGAAATGATAAAAGCTTAAAAATCATGTCATCAGACTTTAGAAGCAAACGCAAGACCTTCATTCTTAAGTTGTTCTAAATCAAAATTGCTACCTGGTTGTTGTGATTTGGCGGAGTTCGTCTGGAGGAGTTCGCGACGGAGGTCGTCGGCGACGATCGACGGCGAGAGTAGGAGCGTTCGTCGGCGAGATTTGTGAGCAGGAGCGTTCGTCGACGAGATTTGTGAGCAGGACTTGAGATCTGAACGACGACGAGAGCAGGAACTTCATTGGTAGGGATCAACGACGAGAGCACGAACTTCATCGAGTCGGCGGCGGTCGACGACAGAGTGAGGAGAAGGGATTTGAGATCGATTTTTTGGGGAGAGAGAGAGATGGATTTGGGGATTTGGGAGAAAGAGAGAACTTCAGATCTGAACGAGATCCGTATCTCGTTATTAAAAGTAGCGGAGGAAATTTTGCAATAAAACCCATTCGATCCCAAATGCGTACGCACCCATATATCACCATAATAGTGTTTACAAAAGACTCAAATACATTCGAAATGCAAGATAAAATACATAGTTTCAAACAAATGAAACAAAAAAGGTAAAGCAATTACATAGTTTTAAAACAAACTAAAAAAAAAGGCAAACACATAGATAGTCAAACACATAGTTTTTCAACCAAAATACAAAAATCTAAACCAACAAAAAATTATCTTCAGAAGTTTGGAGATTGGGATGGCCCGGTGTCAGGAGATGGATGCCTCTGCTCTGGGTATGATTCATAAACATGGTCATCAACTGTTGTTAAACTCTCATCATCTTTTCTTATCTATTCATCATCTCATCCTGCCTATTTTCAATGCTCTCAATCCTATCAACCAAATAGTTTAAAGTGGAAGTGATACTCGAAGGATTGTGATGGGGTATAAATATGTACCAAAAGTTACAAGTGCACAACTAATCAAGTTATAGTATAAAAAGTTATTGATACCATGAGGAAGGTGTTTGTAGGAGAAAATTAGATTTGGTTCTTATGTTTTGTGCGTGATAATTAGGAGTGATGATAGATGTGATTGTGGAGAGATATGAGGAGTGTTGTGAATATGTGCAAAAGTTAATAAATAAGATTTTAGATGATAGAAATGAAGAGTGGATGTGATAAAAGAATAAATAAAATCATAAGGAAATAAAGATAAAGGAAATAAAAATCAAGAAATAAATAAGAGAAAAACAAGAACTAAGAAAAAATCAAGAAAGAAAAGATGAAGGATTCAATTAAAGATATAAGAAATCTAAAATTGAATTTCACTAGCTAATTTCAATTACAAAATATGAACTATTCTCCGTTTTTATATTTTTTACTTTAGATTTATTAAGCATAGACTATCAAACCATTTAAGAAATGTATAACCTATCAAATTATTATCTAAGCAAAATTACTATTCATGACAAGAACAACAACTAGATAATAATTCTAGAATTCATAAGTATAACCTATCAAACCAATCAAGATAAGCATAGATTATCAAATTCGGAGTGATGATAGATGTGATTGTGGAGAGATATGAGGAGTGTTGTGAATATGTGCACAAGTTAATAAATAAGATTTTAGATGATAGAAATGAAGAGTGGATGTGATAAAAGAATAAATAAAATCATAAGGAAATAAAGATAAAGGCAATAAAAATCAAGAAATAAATAAGAGAAAAACAAGAATTAAGAAAAAATCAAGAAAGAAAAGATGAAGGATTCAATTAAAGATATGAGAAATCTAAAATTGAATTTCACTAGCTAATTTCAATTACAAAATATGAACTATTCTCTGTTTTCATATTTTTTACTTTAAATTTATTAAGCATAGACTATCAAACCATTTAAGGAAAGTATAACCTATCAAATTATTATCTAAGCAAAATTACTATTCATGACAAGAACAACAACTAGATAATAATTCTAGAATTCATAAGTATAACCTATCAAACCAATCAAGATAAGCATAGATTATCAAATTCTTCTTCTACTAATTAGTTCTCTAGTTGATTATCCTATACATGATTATTATAAGCATAAGAGAATAATTCATATTATATAAAGGAAATAAAGCTAATTTTATGCAATTTTAAGATTCCTACAAGAATTAGTTCCACATCTTAAGAAATAAAAATAAGGAATGAAATGAAAAGAATAAGAACTAATTACAAAGCAAAGAAATAAGAATGAGGAACTTTACACTATGAACAATAAATAAATCTAACTAAATTACAAAAGAAATAAAAATGCAAGAAAATAAATCTACTTTATAAATTAAAATACAAAATAAAATAAAGACAAGAAAATAAATCTACTCTACAAAACATGAATGTAAATCTAAACTAATAAGCAATAAGAAAGAAATTACTAAAAAGAAATAAGAAATAAAAGAGAAAATTAAAATAAAAGAAAACTTCCAAATTGATCTTCATCTTCATTATCATCATCAAACAAAGAGAAGAAAATTTAAAGTGGTGAAAAAATTCTTTTATTGATTACAACAAAAAGTTACGATTTTGGAAGGTCTTTTCAATTAAGAGGCTGTTTGGATGCCTTTAGGAAACTAGAGTATTTATGACACAAAATAGAAAGTGGTTATCCACCTCACCACTTTTCATTCGAGTGTTTACATTGTTTGGTTAGGAATCTTTATGAATCCTAAAATAATAGTATTATATTGTTTGGATAGTATAATGTAAACTAGAGTATTTATGACACAAAATAGAAAGTGGTTATCCACCTCACCACTTTCTACAAGGTTTTGACTTTATTATTATTATTTTGGACACATTCATGACATTGTGTAAGCTTTCCAACAAAATTACTTTTAATTTTGGTGATTTTACTTTCGGTGACACCTCATCAAAAGGTGTAAGCTTTTCATGTAAAAGAGAATTTAAACAAACAATGTAAAATGATGAAAGCTGACATTAGGACCCACTTTTTTATAGTTTTAATCATTTTACATGGTAAAAACATACAACCAAACAGCCCCTAAGAGTAACCCTCCTCTCCAAATAAAGTTATAAAATTTTTCACACCCTTAACCCCTCACTCTCTACCCCTATTTATAGTAAACATCAACGAATGTGAGCCAGTGGGTCGAAATCTTATCCAAAACAATCAAAATTCAACCATAGATTCATAACTGTTTCGTCAGCATCGATAGGGGCATTGATGCTGCCATCGATGCTGGCATCGATGCCTAGTGCCTCCTTTTGCTATCCGCAAATTTCTTCTTTGTTTGGCTTTGGCCTTTTGGCTTTTAGGCTTTTGAGCTTGATGCTTGTGATTTGAACAAAATTTTTAAGGACTTATCACTCTATTAAAGAGAGTTGATAATTTAACTTTATCGTTAGAAGTGTGGTGGTAACTTGACGATTTTTTGGTACTTGTGATTTGAATAAGATTTTTGAGGACTTATCACTCTATTAAAGAGAGTTGATAAGTTAATTTTATCATCAGAGGTGTAGTGTCAACTTGATGATAGTTTGTACTTGTGATTTGAACAAGATTTTTGAGGACTTATCACTCTATTAAAAAAGAGTTGATAAGTTGATTTTATCATAAGAGGTGTAGTGTCAACTTGACGATATTTTGTACTTGTGATTTGAGCAAGATTTTTGAGAATTTATCACTCTATTAAAGAGAGTTGATAAGTTGATTTTATCATCAGAGGTGTAGTGTTAACTTGATGATATTTTGTACTTGTGATTTGGACAACTTTCTTGAGGACTTATCACTCTATTGAAGAGAGTTGGTAAGTTGATTTTATCATCAGAGGTATGATGTTAACCTTGACGATATTTTGTACTTGTGATTTGAACCAAATTTTCGAGGGCTTGTCACTCCACTGAAGAGAGTTGATAAGTTGATTTCATCATCAGAGGTGCGGTGTTAACTTAATAATTTTTTGGTACTTATGATTTGAACAAGATTTTTGAGGACTTATCACTTTATTAAAGAGAGTTGATAAGTTAATTTTATCATTAGAGGTGTGGTGTTAACTTGATGATTTTTTGGTACTTGTGGTTTGAACATGATTTTTGTGGACTTATCGTTATATTAAAGAAAGTTGATAAGTTGATTTTATCATCAAAGATATGGTGTTAACTTGATAATTTTTTAGTTATATGAGAAACTTGATTCAAACTCCTTGGGGACATGTAGAGATTTTGACTGCCAGAGTTGTATTGTTAACATGACAAGATTGTGTTGCGATTTGAGCAACTTTGTGGACTTATCATCTTCTTGGGGAAGATTAATAAGTTGATTTGGTTTAGAAAAAGCTTGCGATATCAAGAATGAGACAGACTGAATTCGAACACTGTGGGGATGTTAATCGTCAGAAAGGTGATGTTAACTCGACAAGATACTGGCTAGGAATAGTTTTGTGATTTTATAGTTGGCAGACGTG